GTTCCCCCAAAAGTTCCAATAATTTGAATTATAGATAAAGTATATGTTTTATTTTTTAACTTTATATAAAATTTTATTTTAATCATTTAATTTTATAAAGTATATTTTCAGTCCTATAATCTTAATATTGAAAGTTTCATCGACAAAAAACTTCTACATTAAACTTTTAAATATTGAAAAATATTCTCAAATGTTAACATATTAAATTTAATTTTTTTAAAAATAATAATGATTAGCAAAAAAAATCATTTGAAACTAATAGTATTAGGATTAAATGATTGAAGTGATACTTTATAAAATTAAAAAAATTAAATTAAAACCTTATATAAAGTTAAATGATTATATATATACTTTAATTTTTAAATTATTTATTTTGTTTTTTTAAAGGAACCCTAAGCTGCTTAATTTGTTGAGTTTTGTACTTTTATTTTATGCTGGCAACACTTTAAAAGCAGGACTTCAAATACCCATGGCCAACTGGCCAAAAACAAAAATGATGCCCATGACTATGATGACATAATAACAACAAAAACTTATAGATTAATTTATTTTCTGTGTTTGATTTTTCTTTTATTATGATTTGCTTTTTTTCTTTTATCTTCTTTTAACTTTCTTGTCATGACTACGTTTTTTTTTAATCTTACTTTTCTTCTTTTGTCTCTCTGTTTTTTTTGTCTTCTTTTAATTTTCTTGCCACTTTGCCAATCACATTTTTCTTTTTTTTCATCATTTATTATTTTCTTTTTAACTTTGATAATTGTTATTATTGTTATTATTATTATTATGCGTCCACTCTTCCACTCCCACTTCTTTATTTTTTTTTTGCAAACAAATTCTTTAAGGTGCGTTTCAAATTTATGAAATTTAAATTTGTTTTTGACAATCATTTTTTGGACACGTAAAATTCTATAAATTCATGTTTTATTATAATTTTTTATATCATTATCTCTGTTTATTCTTGCTACTTCTCTCATCTCCTGTTTTATTTTTAATCAATTGAATAACAGAAGTAAGCTTTTGAATTACAATCTTTCATTTCTGCTTCAAATCTTAGCTCTTTTTTTTTTAACTTTTGAAAATTTTTATACTATCCGAAAAAAATTTAAATGCATGAATCTTAAATAGAAGATTTTAAATCAAAAATTTAAATTTAAATTTATCAATTCAAAAGCTATATTGAACTTTTGTTTCTCTCAAAAAATTAAGGGTCATGACATTTGAATACTGAAAAGATACCGATAAATGCCATAGGCAAGAGCTTGTAAATTTATTTGAGACAATTGTTAATTCTTTAAGGGAGAATCACGTTCAAGGATCCTCAAAAATATTATTTACAAATAAAGATCAATACAGAATAAATTATTATTAAAACAAAAACGTAACATGCTTTTTTTTTTGTGGGAATGAAACTTATTATTATTCCTTATTTATGAATAATTTTTTTGAAATGTCCTTAAATGTGATTCTTCCATTTTTTAACAATTCTAATTTCATATCCATACATTTAAATTTTACTTGTAAATATTAGTGGATGGGTAATGGTGAACTTGTGAATAGTGTTGGAAATCTATGTGTGGGCTTATATTAATTAACATTTTATTGATTTGTTTAAACAAATTGATTGGAGATCCCTCAAATATCAAAACCCAGTTAGGTATACTTAACCAGCTTGATGTGCGATCTTTTAAGTTTGGTTAGCAGCTAAAGTGTCGCCATTAACCTTATTAATTAAAGTCGATAGTGAGTAGGCTCAATAACAATTACTTCCTTCGTACCACTGTATAACTCATTTTTTAAAAATATTTAATTGGTTCAAAATATAAAGTATTTGAAAAATGTTATATTTTTTTAAATTATACCCTTACTTTATTAAGTAATCAATGAGGGTGTTTTAAATAAATTAAATGTTATATTTATCATATTAGAGGACATGATTGGAAAGAGGTGAAAATTTTTAAAAAACAAGACCTTAACAAACTTTTTTTGAGAAATATTGTATAAATTAATTAATAATGAATTATATTGTGGTCTGAAGAGAGTATTAATTGGGTTAGTCACTCTCTCTAACCCTAATTTAGTGTGCATTTCCCCACCAAAAGTCATATACTCCCTCCTATCCAAAATATTAGCATTTTCCACAAGTTAATATTGATTCAAAATATAAGTAATCCCACGCATGCAAAAAGAATTTTTCCTCATTTTACCCCTTATATTTATAAATATAGATGCTTATATAATTGTATTTTTCACTTATTATGAAGCGGATTTGTAATTGAGATTAAAAATAAAAAACAATGTATATTTTATGATATTAAGAACTTTATTGGTTTACTGATTTTTTTAGAAAAAGTTGTTTATGTTTTAAACTGAACGGAGTAATTTTATAAGATTATCGAGATGATAGCCTAGTTATTATGGTTGAGTCGGCAATTCTTTTGGTTTCTTATCATATACACTAGATTCATCCCTAATGTGTTAATTGGATCTTACAAATAGTACTTGTTATTATTATTTTTTTTTTAACCTTCTAGCATGGGAATTGAAATCCTCTCAATGGAGATAAGGTACCAAAAAATTAAAAAAGTCGCCAGCAGCGTGGTCGTTTAAGAAATGGTTAGAAGTGGAGGGGGTAGAATTTTCAAGATTTCAGTGGCATTTTAGGGAGAACGAGCTTTGTAAAAATATTCACGTTAAATTAAAAATTTTAATACTAAAAGATGGTTGAGAGAGTACTGAAATTTAAAAATATCAATATTGAAAAATCTTAATTTAATATTAATATTCTTATAAAGTTTTTATTTGTCAATCTCCTGGCATTTTTAATTTCAAATAAAGACCAAGATCCTTGATATTACTTTTTATATTTAAGGTCCTTACTTGTATATAATTTTATTCCTAACCCTCTACATGTCGTTTGTCCTAGTTTTTACTTTTTAATTGAAATTCTTATAATCATATGTAAAATATAATATAAATAGAAAATGCTCTATGCGAAGCACGAGATTAAGGAAAAGTTCGCCTATTTCTTCCCCCTCCTTTTTGTTTTGTCTTTGGATATTATGAGAAGTTTTTGCTTAATATAATGTCACTCTCATTAGGGTAAAATTGGTTTTGGATTCTAGGAGAATGTTTAATAAAAAAATAACATAACATTTAAGTATTTAACTAATGATATTTTAAATTAGCCTTTCTTTTTTAATAAAGAAAGTTTAACCCTTTTCTCTTTCATGTCCTTACAAGAGATTTTATATACAACTTTTTGACAATATATTCTTTTTTTAATATACACAAGTGGAATGGATTAGTCCTTCATGACTTGAGTAACCAAAGTCTTAATCTCATTAGATATGTGTCTACATTTAGTTTTTAATTGTGTTTTGAATATAATTGTCTCCAATAGAGAATATTTATACACAAAAAAAAAGGCACCTATCATCTATCTTGTTGCAATGTATGGTCATAATAGTGTTCACAATTAGAAAAAAATCTTTATAACAAATTACCAAACAAAAATTAACTTTTAGTCATATATTTAAGTTGGATTGGTTTAAATTTTTTTTTAACATGAACATCACCACTTCCCTTATAAAAGGCAAAGTAAAGCCACAATTAGAAAATTCCAGAAAATATATTTGAAAGACATATCATTGTATTGATATTCCAAACAATAATTAAACAAAATGTTTGAGTAGATCACACCCTAAATTCATAACACAATAATTGGTCTTGAATCTATTTAGGTCAAATTCAACTACATATTCTAATGATACACAAATAATAAGAAAGATGATAAGATTTATATGAAAGGGGACCGGTAACCTAATAAAGCTACATAAAGTATAGTGCTTTTTTTTAATAATAATTATAGTGCTTTATATAAAACTAATTTGAAACAACCCAATGAAGCTCATAAAATATAGAATTAAAAGTGAGATCAAATACTTATTTATTGTGTCTGCATATTTTTATACAACACAGACTCAAGGCAAATAAAACATAAATCTAGTTTCTCCCCCTCGCTAATATATGGACATGCTTTCACTTTCAAAAAAGCTTTAAATTTCACCTTTGTGACTTATGAATTTTTAAGCCGAATACTGTGGTCACCAGTAAGTAGAAAAGATATTTTTAAAAAATGTTACATTAAAAAAAACTATTATTTTAATAATAACTCGTTAATGTTTTATGATTGTTTTATTTTTGTACATGCTTAAAAAAATAAACACCTTATTTTACTCCTCAACTTTCAACTTGTGAGAGAAAATCAAAAGATAAATTGAAAATTATATAAGTAAAAAATATGTTAATATGATATTAAAAAAATACTGTGTAAAAATATATTTTAAATGTCAATAGTTATGGTCAAGCGTTAGTTTTTTTTTAACAATACTGTTAAATCCACTGTTTCATGAACAGTAAAAAGTTATACTTTACTATGTAAAATAAAAATAAAATAATAACAACAACAATAATATAAGATTAAACATAAAAATATTTAAAAATCAAAATACTACTGTAATGTACTGGTGTTAGAAGACTAAAACTAAAATCACACTTTTGCCTTGGAAAAATTTCACCCCAACAAACTAATGAAGGTTCTAGCTTTTTTACTGACAAAACTTCTGAAAGTTACCATAAATTCACTTTAATAATATACCACAGATTCAGACACACAGTTTAAGTTGTTGGGTTATTTTATATCTATCTCCTCCACTGATTCAGTGTGCTCTATTTGTTTATTTATCTCCCAATTAAATATATCAATGACAATTTAATTAAAACATAATGAAAATTCTCATGATACGTGTATAAACAATTTTGAAGTGTCAATCATCTATAGTCATCAAATTTCAATAATCTCATATGGAAACTACGCACCAAATATTTCCATCCTTGTGACAAAAGAAGAAAACGCTCACCATTGAGTGGTTACAGATAGAACACATAAGATGCAAACTAGTGACCACAAAGATGGCCCAATTAGCTCATTCTATGATTCCCACACGGCCATGTGATGGGCCTTTCCTCTTCTTTACTTGTAGAGCTTCAAGCTTATCAATGGCCGAAAATCCACCGTTGCAATGGTTCAAATTTACCAAGTGTCAAAATAAATGCACACATTTTTCTTTTGGTAAAAAGGCAAATATATTAACAAATATATTGCACTATACTCTTCTGAGCTCTACAGCTGATGAAGACTTGCAAGGACCGAAGGATACCCTAATCCAAGAGGTGATTTCATGTAAGGCAGAAGCAGATTCCCTTATTGTTCCAAACATGCAAGATTTCCAGATTTAGCCAATCTTGAAAGAGCCTTTGAGAGAAATTTTGAATCCAAAGTAGAAGAGTCCAAAAACAGAGAGTCAGAAAAAGGTGGGGAGATATAGTTTCAGGTAAGTGGAAAAATCACTGTAGTACGATCTTCTCCATCGAGAGACAAATGAACAGCACAGTGCGCCTTTTTTCCGTTTCTTGAATAAGTGAAGCTTGATTCTCCAAATAGAAAGATCAAGTTGAATATGAGGCCAAAGCAAAAAAGGTAAAGATCTTTCCTCTTGATACCTATAGCGATTAATTATTCTTGTACAACAAATATTCTTCCAATTGCATGCATTTGTGAGGAGAAAATAATCTCCCTGAAATTGACGAGTAATTTGGTCCATAAGAGTAATCTTTCCTATATGTAAAGCTTGATTTTTGTAGAACCATATCAAATGAGTTAGAAAAATATGTGCTTTCCAAGAGCTAATGATGGAGTTCACAAGAAATATGCATGATCCAAGAAATACACCTCATATTTAAGAAATCAAAGGAGCGTGTAAACATAGAGCCAAACTGAATAGCTATAATATAAGGACAATTACAAAACATGTTATTGAGAAACTCTGAAAAGTTATAGCCAAATATATATTGCAAAGTGAAATTGAGATGGTGTTTTTATAAGATATCCCTTGTAAAAATAGCCTCGTGGACAAGCTTTTAAATAAAAAGTGGAGTTTTAAATGGAAGATGAAGCTCCAAATGCTTTATTTATATAAAGCACTATCTTGAGTTGAGATAGATACTATTTGAAAGCTTTCCTTGATAGTATAAATTCCAGGTCCTTAGGTAAGAGAGTCTTTCAATTTAGGAAAAGAGATAGGAGTTTTCAAGAGCAAATTTGCATCATCCCCAACATAAAAGTTGTGAATGAGAGAGGAATTCCACTTGGCCGCTATCCAAGGGGATGGGTTTGTGATGATTAATTTAGAGACATTGAAAATGCAAAGCTCTCACAAGTTAGATCCTTGTTGTTTAGCTTCTACCAACACTCATGGGAGAGAAAAATAGACTCTCCATTACCAACATGCTAAAAAAATGCTTCTTAGTAAAGTTAGAGGCTTTGAAGATCCCCTTTCTAAACCAAGAGGTATTTTGAGGTATTTTCAACAATTACCCCTTAGAATTTTTAAAATATTTGATTTTGATTATGTTGCCTAGAAGATAATGCTCTTCAACATCAATCACTCTCTAGGTTTGCTTGGCCAAGAAAGCCAGATTCATGTGCTTAGTGTTCCTTAAGCCAAGACCACCCTTTTTGGTAGAGGTAAAAAGAATTTCCCTTTTTGGCAAAATGAATGCTTTTCTTACCATCATTATATTCCCACAAGAAATCAATGAGCTTTGCATCAATGGTATCACAAAGATGGTTAGGAAGTTTAATACTAGAGAGAATGTGAATATTATATGAATATAAGATAAGATGTGAACAGACACATCCTTATGAAAAAATATTTTTAAATATATGAATACAAGTATATGCATGCATTTGTATATGTATAAATGACAATTTTTCTTCTAAACCTCGACATTTAAAAACATCATAATATGCCTCTCTTGTTAATTACAAGAATATTGACTGACAAGCTCTATGAGAAAAAATGTGGGCTTCACAACATTAGACTAGCAGACATCACCTATAATTAACTGGAAGGGAAATATTATTATGTTTTTAAATGTTGAAGGAAAAATTGAAAAAAAAAAGGATATTAGATGCTCTTAAATCTATAATTTAAGGGTCAAATTTTTCTTTTATCCTATGCATACGTATGTACATGTATCAACCAGTTCATGAATATATTCTAAATCCTGCAATTGCATGGTTGGATCCATTTTGATAATGGGAGCATGGTTATATATTGTTAACATATAATTATCAATTAATCATTAAAATAAGCAATCATATTTTGCATATAACTGGGTGTACAGGGAACCAGATAAACTCACAAATTCTTAAAAAACAAAAAAAACAAAAAACATATTTCTACTTTCTTTTTTTTCCAATTATCATAAGTATAATTGATTACTCTTTTCTTTCTTGAACGCATGAATTTTTTGTTTTGGCCATAAATACATCTCAGATACACTTTTAAAAAGATAAGTAGAGATCACATGGCCAAACTACAGTGGGTCTCGTATGTGTCAATGAGAGGCTTTAAATCCCAATCCGTACTTCTTGAGATTTTGTCCCAACAATGCCAATAAATCAAGAAAAAAAAATGACTTCGATGATTAAAAAAATACAGGTACACATGCTAAGAAGACCAAACCAATTATGAAGCAATGATACTGAAAAGCAAAAGACAAAAACAAAAAAACAAAAACAAAAACATAGCTTGTTTTATATGTATATAAATATGTTCATTGAGTAGTGTCTTCTATCCACGCTACAATCTACTTAAGATAAACAAACAAGTTTCCACTATTATCTTCTTCTCAAATGGCCATATGTGCATTGATAACTTGGCCTGAATAGGTCATGAAAACTGAATAAGAGAGAAAGCAAAAAAACCATTAACCATGTTTCTTTTATCATAGCATTCTGAAACTTTGACCGGTAACACCTATGTTTTCTTTTAGAGGCATGAAAATTAATCAGTGTACAGGGCAACCATCTACTGCTATGCCTTTAGCAGTAGGACATGTTGCAAGAGGACAGTGTTCACCACCAGTTCCCCACCAAGTGATACTCTTGTTCTCAAGTCCTACTGAGAAGTATATCAATACAGCCATGAAAGCAACCCCAGCATCAAGTGCTGCAGATAGCACATAGTTGTACCTCTGCCACCATTGCTTCCTGTAACGGAAGACGAAGAAGTTGAAGATGGTTCCAACAGTAATCCATGCATTGTAGTTCAATGATGTTGCAGGTGGCATAGCTCCTGTTGCTCCTAGTAGGACTGGAAAGTTGATCAGTGGAATCCATGATTGGTTAGGAAATGCCATGTGCAATAGCCAAACAAGTATGGGACCTAGTGCTCCTCCAAGGAAGAACCAGTTCATTGCACTGTAGTTTCCCTCAGAACCAAAGATTTTCTTTGGTCCTACTAGACCCCAAATGACTGATGCGTCGAAGAAGACGCGATCACCAGGACATGTCCATGGACTGTCTGGAGGGAGAACTTCATCTTGGCAAATGTTCTTGATGGATGTCAGTAGCCACCATGCTACACCAGCGTTGATGGTTCCAGCCATCATAGTACCAATGAACTATTCAGATATGAAAAAAATGGGGTGTATCATCAGAGACTGTAGGAAAATGCAATATTAATATACCTTAAGCAGGACTGTGTCCCTAACAAGTAACATCTGATATACTGTAAGCATCTGGTGTGAAATATTTCATGATATGTATAAGCTTTCTTTTTAGATCATTGTTTTGGCATGATTGTGTTCCTCGCATTTACTATTGGAACATGCTTTTGCTTTGTTTACAAACTTGAATTTAATACAGTTTACATCAAAATGCCTGCTAGCTGTAAATCATGCCCTTCCAAAAGAAATGAATGAAGCATAACGTTTATATGATTAGAAAAAGTATGATGTGACGCTGTCTTTGACATGTATGTAGTTCTTGGTGCCCTGTTTGTGTGTGTGATTGGGATACATCTACTTGGAGGATGAAGAACAACTTTGTTTTTTTTTTTTTCATATCATGAGAGTTTGAACCCTAAAATTATACCCACATCCCATCCCATCTTCATCATGTGAGTTAGGAACAAGTCTTTTAGAATAAATAATTGATTGATATACCTGAATTAAGAACATTGATCTTGGAGGGATCTTCATGTAGTGTCCAAGCTTGAAATCACTGAGGAAGGAGACAGCCTGAGCCATACTTATGTAGCCGTAAGTTTTGAAGCATACATTGGCTATTGGTCTTCCCGGGTAAATGAGACCAAAGACATACTCAGTGATAATGTTCAACCCCGGTGTCTGTATTTTAGCATATAACAACAGCATTAGTCACAACATGATCTTTATGCTTTCATAGTCTCATTAAATATTGTACTCAACATAATGATTAAAACACAACAATTTTTTTTTTTTTTTTTTGCTAGGAGATGAGGGAGAAAAATTTAAAGTTTCTAACCTGGTTTGTGGTGGCAGTTATGATACTGATAGGGAGGGTAAAAATGAAAGCAATGGCTGAAGCAAAAATAAGTCCCCACCAAGGCATTTGAACCTGATCGTTCAGAAAGATGCATAGAACCAGAGAAAATACAAATGTCACACCCAGCAACAAATAAAACCACCATGAAGGTATGTCCTTGTATCGCTTCATCAATCTTGTGTGAATATCTTCTTTTCCCTCAGAAGAAGCGCGATAACGGTCCATAATCTCCCTGCATTTTTAGTTGCACATCAGTATATAACTACAACCTTTTTAAGTGTATATAGAATCTTGACACTGATCAGCATATGGACTCCTAACAAATTAATCAAAATTACCATAATCTCCTTGTATCCTTTGAATATTTTCATGCATATCAGAAGCAAGCAAATAATGTAACTGCTAAATGTTTTCAGTATCGGAAAAGAGAGACTCACCTTCCATAGAAACATGCAACATGTGTTAGGGTGGCTGCTATCGTGGCAAATCCAAAACCATAAGTGAGAGTAAAGAACACACTCAGATGAATCCTGCCTTGAGCTTCATACTCAGCAACGTTAAGCTCAAACTTGTCGTTGACAATGGCTGTTATGTTGTACAGTTGACCTTGAGATGTGAACAAATGTGAAGAGAAAATAGGAAACCTATTGGCATTATACACATTTAGGCCCCAGTAAGCCAGAGGAATCACAATATACACTATCACTGCATAGCCAACGAAGACATTGACAATGGAGAAGAAGGGTGAGATGAGAGGGCTAAACAAGAAAGATGCCACAGCAGACCAGTCCAGTGTTATGGCTCCGAGTCCTAGACCTTTCATGCCAGACCCTAACTGCTGAGCTGTGACTGACTTGGAGAATATCCAGCAGATCCATGATATGCTTGTGAGAGTTGAGAACAAGTATCCAGGGACTAAGTACCACGAAAAACTGCAGGCTAGTGCAACGAAGAAGAATTTTGCCCTTGTTAGTCGTTGATCGTCTTTCTCATGTAAAGCTCTGCATTATGTACATGAATGTGTGAAACTTCAATGGATAAAGATGCATGTTAAGATGCATTGCTATATTACTAGAAATCATAAAATTTTAAGAACAGGAAGATGAGAAAAGTTGGTATGGAACAGATGAGACCAAAAACAGAGGAAGCTAGATTACCAATCAGTTTATTGATAAGGATTATGGACTAAAGGGGCGATTCTATCATTTTCTTTATCTCCGCAACAGCCAATAATTATCTCCCTCGTGTTGGTTGCACACGTACGATAATAAAAATAAACCAGGAGCATGGAAGGAAAAGAATGTGCAACCCTTATGTTTTTTAATACAATAAAAATGAATGCGATGAAAAATTTTGTAATTCAATTACCAACAGTTTTTTGTGAATTGCAACCGACAAGCTTTCGCTTTGAACATTAAGGACTAAATCAAAAGTAAGTAATTCTATGATCAATAATAAAAACAAAAACATGCTTTTATATACGCCCCAAGAAAACATGCTTGTATTAAGGAAAGACTAAATCAAATGTAATTCAATTAAATTTTCTTGTTCAATTACCGTAAAAGTAATGAAAAGATATCTTGTTAATTGAACAAGAAAATTTAATTACAATTCAGTCTCTGGGTCTGTGCATGCTATTTTGAATTGTTCTGATCCCTTCAAAGATCCTTGAAATGCTTTTCTGCCTAGAACAAGTAAATAGGATCACTCACTGATATTAATATTTCTACCGTCTCCGCTTGGCTGGTTAATATTTTCTGTGATAATAATGTGACTGGGGCTTTTGAAAGGGCACTTGTTGCTTCAATTTCTTGGGAAATTTGGAAGAGTAGATGTAGTTAGGAATTTTATGAGGAAAGTGTGAATGCTGAGAAGGTTATAAATGCCTCTAGGATTGTGAATGAATCACAAAATCTGAACCTCTATTGTAAATTGAAGAAATATATGGGTTTGTTTGAAAATTTATTCTGAGAACAGTTTTCTGTTTTTCAAAACAAGATAATTAAAAAAATATATTTTGTAACGTATTTTCAAAAAGTGTTTTGAAGGACAAAAAAATAAAATATTGTTCTAAAGAACAAAAAAAAAAATTTTAGGTGTTTTGAGATTATTGTTCTAGAGAATAAAAAGGAATGAAAAATATTTATTTTTATTTTTTTTATTCCCAAAACATGTTTTACAAAATATCAGTTCTTAGAATAATAAAATAAAAATAATTTCAAACAACCCCATAATATGTTTATGGAGTCAGTTGATAAAAGTTTACTTTGGAGGAGAACTTTACTAGGGAGAGTTATGATTAACGTTGATAGCTCTTTTAATAGTATCTTGAAATCTTCTAGTATTGGTCTTATTTGTAGAGATAAATTTGAAAATTTCTTGGGTGGTTGTGGGAAGAATATTGTTGCTAATTCTACTCTCATGGCTGAATGCTAAGTTGTTATGGAAGGTTTGAGAGTGGTTCATCATTATTCTGGTCAGATGGTCTTTATGAAAATGGAGTGGGAGATGCTCTTTCAAATGTCATCAGATAAACTCAATTTTAGTTATGATTAAAAATATTTTAGAATTGTGCAAGATATTCTTGTAGTTAAAGAATCGTACAAGGATGTTTGTTTCTCTTTGATGGCTCGCTAAGATAATGAAGTTGATAATTTTTTAGTAATGATGGGCTTTAAGAAGATGTGTCCAATTAAATAACTCTTTGTAACTACATATTATTTATCTGGGTTGTTAGTTGCTATTGCTAATTTGAAAGCTATTAATTGTCCTAATTTTTGTTTTGCTTCCACTGGTTTCTCTTAGAATAAAGAGAGCAATGGTTAATATGTTGTTTTAATTTTACATTTGGATTTTTTTGATATGATTTCTTGTTTGTTGTTTTACTTTTATTCTGCTTTTTGAGTTATATGTTACGTTGTGCCTTAATTTTTTTTTTTAGTGATTTTTTTGCTTTGGCTATTGATTGATTGCAATTTTTTTTTTCGGTGATTCATAACATTGGTTTTTTTCCTAAAAACAAAAAAATCACCCACTCATGATGATTAAGGCATCGTAACTTACTGGAAAATTTTCATTATAACCTTTTTGACCAAACTTATTAACAATTAACCCCCGAAAATTCTGAAACACTAATTCAGTCCCTGGTCCCACTTAGACTAAATTGAAATTAAGTTTTTAAGAAAAAGGACAAATAACCCAATCCCCTCCAAACGTCCAGAGCTGGACCATTGATTCCCATCGCAAGATCTCTCTCTCTCTCTCTCTCTCTCTATATATATATATATATATATATATTTATAGACACATATATTCCAAAATAGTGTCTGAGCATAAAATATTAAATTCTGAAAATCCACTTAAAAACAGATTCTGCGAAAAAAATTTCTTTTAAATAATTACTTTAATATTAAATTCAGGTTTTAAGTTTTCACCTTAATTAATTATACTTTATATAGAATGAAGTAGAATTTCTCTGCCTGGCCAAACAAAAAAGTAGAATTTCTCTGCATGAAAATATTAAATGTATAAATATGAATGAAATACTTTAAAAAAATATAACTTTAAGTTCTTATACTCTACTCACATTTTGTTATTAGTTCTTATATTTTTTTTAATATTTTTAATCCTTGTATTTTTATTTTTTATTATTTTAAGTCCTTTTATGAATAAAGCATTTTTTTTAAAAAATTACTATTAAATCATAAACAATTAAAGATGAAGATGGAATAAAAATGTTAAATCATAAAAGTATTTTTAAAACATTTTTTTGCATTATGATTAATTTAATTTGTAGGCAAGGGAAAGAAAAACTGCATTGCCCTTTTCTCGCTGACCCCGGAAGAGACAGTGAAATAATATAATAGAAACCACAGCCCAAGTGAATCTCCTCGTTCCTCCTTTCTTCATCTTCCCTTATTTTATTTATATTTATTTTTTAAAATTGTCTTTTTAAATTTTTTTATTGAAAGTTGACCTATAACTCAATCATTATTACTTCCACTCATTTAGTTTTAGTTTTCTTTGCATCCCCATCATCCTTGATCTTTAGATTTCACCTCAATAGGTTCTAAAATTATTTTATACAGTAGATCCCTAGATTCATCTCTATTGCCACTACTTTATAACTTTCTGTAAACTTTCTCTCCCTTCTATATTTATTTTATATATATATATATATCTACTCCATTCATTCTTTAATATAAGACAAATTTAATTAAATTCACACATATTAAAAAATGATAGTTACACTTTTAAAATTATTTTTAAAATATATATTTTTTAATTTTTATTTTTAATTATAATAAATTGCTGTCTAGAAATTGAAATTATAATAAATAAATAAGGGATAAAATTAGAAAAATAATTATTTTAATATTTATTATACACACACTCCATTCATTGTTTAATATAAGACAAATTTAATTAAATTTGCATTTATTAAAAAATGATAGTTAAACATTTAAAATTATTTTAAAAATATGTAATTTTTTTAATTTTTAATTTTTAATTATAATAAATTGTTGTCTTGAAATTGAAATCATAATAAATAAACAAAGGGTAAATTTCAAAAATGATTACTCTAATTTTATCTTATATTAAGGATTAATTTTTTTATAAAATTTGGCTTGCACTAAAAATCGAAGAGAGTATTTTGTAGTAAATGATAACAGTTCAAATAATAATGTGAGGGTTGAATGAGTTGATATTATTAAAAAAAATATTGAAATTTCTATGAAGAAAGTTTACAAAATAACTTCACCGAGTATTTAACAACACGCACAACCACACAATTGTTAAGAGTTTCTTTTATAAGTGAGGTGTGAGATTTTTTTTCTTTTTCTTTTTGAAAAAAATGTATTGTCTGTGCTCAATCTCTCTCTTCTTTTCTTCATCTTCTATTACAAGCGAAGGGCGTAAATTACGATGTCCAAATATGAGAAGACATTTTTCCTAACAAATATGAGAAGACTTTTATGAGCTAGCCATTTAGATTAAGAGAGAGAGAAATGAAAAAGAACCAAAAAGAAAAATCATACCTAAAAAGAGAGACCTGAACGAGGGTACTGGGCCACCACATGTGGGCTGGTTCGACTACGTATTTCCTGATCAGCCCAGCCCATCCGTATCCCAACACCTACATACATTGCACCATAGTATTAAAATTAAAAATTGAACCAACACCCAAAAAAAAAAAAAAAAAAAAAGATCAGTCTTGCAGGCTAAACCATTAAACAATTGGATTTGTGTATCAAAGTTATGTTCATGACCGATCTAATGGTTCAATGACTATTCCAATTTTCGTTACCATGCATTATTTACACACGCTACCACCACTAATATCTAGGCTAGATAATTTACCTTATGTTTTTTAGGGAAAAAAATAAAAAAAGAAGGAAGTGTGTCATTTTTTATTTATTTTTTAAATATATTTTATAAATAATGTTACATGTAAAGTTGTCAATTAGCACTAGTATTTAAAGAGTTAGGGATTAAATAGGATGCTCCTTTTAAACTCAATTACATTTTAAGAATTCATTTTGATCACTCTGGTCCTAGACCTTAAGGTTAAAAGGTTGATCCAATATTTTTTTATTTCTTTATTTAAAAATATATATATATATATATTTAAAATTTCAAAAAGGTTATTACATATAATATTAAGTCTAGAAAAAAAAATTTAAATCAATACACACAACAATAAATTTAAGTTTAATAAAAAATAACAATATTATAAAATTAATACCATAACAATCATACTTTGCTAGCACCATTAGCTATATCTTGATAATTTTTATTATCATCAATATCAATATAATTTCATCCTTCTTCTTATAAAGCTTTATTAGTGAAAAAGATATTAAGCTTTTCATATATTTTTCTTTTGTCTTTATTAAAAAAAGGCTAGGGTTTTAGAATGAATATAATATTTAATATTTTATTTTTTAAACATTAAATTTTAAAAAATATAAAAGAGCTTAAAAGGGTCAACCCTTTTATTTTAGGACTTAAAATAGTTCTCAAATTTTCATTTTAAACTTTAAAATAGTAGCCTAACCTTAAATTTTTTTCAGATTTCAAAGGATTAGTGTCGTTCTAGATCTAATTGATGGCTTCATATGCACATTTCATTTAAAAAATTAATAAGTAAATAAAACTGATAGAAATGATGACAGGTAATTAGGTACTAGTATCTATCTGGATAATCACACACTTTCTAATAAGATTATCTTTTATTATTTAAAATAAAATGTATATTATATTGTCCACCGAATAAGCAGTGTACACCAATATTCGGTGCATAGGATATGTCTTCGAGGCTCGAGCAATCGTGTTAAATATTAATAATCGAAAATATCTAATACAATTATAACATTTTAAAAAAGTCTTTGAAATTGGGAGCCCAAAATTTTGAATTTTTTTTTTTCAATTTTGGTATTTCAGTTTACTTTTACAGTATGACAAACGTTCTAAACATGTCTATTATATCTCCAAACGCTCGTCGGCATACCTAGAATTTTCTTAGAAAACTTCATTAGACACCAAAATTCTACTTACACATTGACGCTTTCTTTTCCACTAGAAAATAGAGTTCATTTCACACTTATTAGTTAGGAGTATTTTAATAATTATGTATGAAAACTTACTTTCGTGTAATAAACTTGAGTTTTCGGTAAATTTTTGTGTATTTTTTAAGACTTTATTGTATTTTTTACAGTAACTCTGGAATCTTCTTTTGGAATTAACACCTGCATTCATTGGTTAGCTTATCATGTTAATCAAGATAAGTTTGATGCTATTATCTACGATTATTCACTCTCAGGTGTAAAGACTTGTTTTGTTAATGACCAAACTTATTTTTAGTTTTATTTATGTACGATTTTATCAGGTACGTGTTTGTATTTAAAAAAGAAAAAGAAATACGCTCATTTTTAAAATGAACCTAAAATCGAAAAGCACTAGCCACTAGCTAGAAATCATCCACTTGCATCGTTTATAAAAGACAAAAAAAAAAAATCTAAAAAAATAATAATGGTAGTTACCTGAGTGGTGAGGATGAGAAGCCAGGCAGCCAAGAAGGAGATGCTTCGGCCGTAGAAGGCTTTGATGATGGTAACGATACCGACGGCGTAAGGCGACCCGGATCCGAAGGCGCTTCCCGCATTTGCGAATATGGTGATGAGCACGTGCTCCTTCATGTTAAACGGGCCCGGGTTCAGCGAGAACGTCTTGGACCCGAGTCCGGGGATCCGGAACTTGGTGGCGGGAAGCACGGCGGCCATGAAGTGTCCGATCGGAAGTGTGGCGACCTGCACGGTGATCTGCGTGATTATGAGCGGTTCAGTCCGGTAGGCGAAGAATTGGTTGAGGAAGGAGAGGAGAGAGCAGGATAGGAGGCCGAGGAACCACATTCGGAAGGTCCACACGGGCAGATTCGGGTCGTCGGTGTTGGTCACTGTCAATCGGACCTCCTCAATGGGAGAGACCTCATCTTCGTCGGCGACGGCGTACACGGAGGTCGTTTTCTCCACGTCAAAGGCCTTGGCGGTGGTCGTCGTGCTGTCCGCCATGAAAATTCAGAGAGAGAAAGAGAGTTGAAGCAGTGAGGAGATGGCGAAGGTATTTGTGATTGAAGCTACAAAAACAGTTCGTTTAAACTTCGAGTGACTTGGAGAATTAACGGCTCGTTTGATACGGTGGAGTCATTTTTAATAGAACGAGAATAGGGGTGAAAGTGAAAATAGGACTAAATAAGAATAAAATTTAAAAATATATTCGGCACATTGATAGAATGTTAATATAACTTTTATTTGGTATTTATAATATAATGAAAAAAATATTATTTTTACCTCCGGCCTGGGAAAAAAAAAATTGTTCATGAGCCAAGAACAATTTCAACCATTTTGCACAAATTGATGCTAAAGCAAGAGAGAAAACCACCAAAAAATACCCCAACTTGAACAAGGCCCTAAGTTAATTTGCAACAAACAAAGAAAGAGGCTTGAATGATACTGTGAACATCAACGGAGGAATGACGAAGAAAGTGTTGGAATATTTATTTATTGAATTAACATTAATTAATAAGTTTAAGTAGGTAGATTGATCTTTATGATCTTGTGTAGATCGTGATAGGTGGACCACACAAGTGAATCTAATGAACAGAGGCCCAACCCACAACCCAATAGCCGTCATTTATTTCCTATCTCTTAACTGACTGAGTCAGAAATAATAAAAAAATAATTATTTAATTAATTAATAAAGCGGTTATTGATCTGATCCTTATAAGTCGATCAGTCGATAACTATAAACACACGACTGATTTTCATCTGCACTCTCTGAAGACTTTGGGGACCAGTGGGTTGTACGTCTGTCTATACTCAAGGTAATCGAGCTATCTTAAGCGATCAATGAATTCTTCAGGTACGTACAAAATTACATTATTTTATCATATTCAATTATATATGAATTGAGATGCTAAATATAACACTTGGCATTAGAGCCTGGTTTACGAACATTAATTTATATATTTCAATTTATTATCCTATGTGTGTTGATAAAAGTAAAGATGATAATTTTCACACATTGATATTATTAAAAGTAAATGAATTTGATTGAAATTCTTGCTCAATAAAGCTATATTTGAATTTTGAAATTATTTAAGCCATGTAATCGTGTGCATCTTCCTTTTTTTTTTGTTTTTCCCCTCTCCTCCCATTTTGTTCTTGCCAGAGGTTCTGCTTGCTAGAGTGGCCGAAGAAGGTCTTGGCGACGTGGTCTTTTGTTGTATGGTCATCGGCGTCATGACGGAAGTGAGTTCTACTTCAAGTTCACGGCGGTCGCTGCACCTTCTTGTTACTATTTCACGTCGGCTATTGCCTAGTTCACGGCCCTACACAGTCACGGGATCACGCTAGTTGTTTTCTGGTTTAGCAACTACTGCCCACAGTGTTGTCATAGCGGCGTAGTCCCCCTTCTTCCTCGTCTCCTGCACGGCTGGAGAAGACCCAGGGACAAGGTCAAGAACCAGATCCTAGGGATCTGGTTTCATGGGTTCTAGGCCCATTTTCGTATGAACCTAGATCTTTGTTTGAAAAAAAAACAAGGGGAGGCAGTGGTTCAGCTCGCAACACTAGAAGAAGGAAGGATTGGATCAAAAATTGGATCCTACGGATTTGATTTCATGGATCCAGATTTCCTCTGGGCTTAAATTGCAAAAAAAAAAGTTGGAGGCATGAAACGGGTCAGAAATCAGGTCCTAAGGATCCAGTTCCATTTGTATTCATCTGGGCCTGATTTAAAAAAAAATTAGTTACACTTTTGATCCCAGGATAGAATTACCTCCTTCGGCCCATAATTTCTAGAATTTCTTTCGTGACCCCAGTAAATTTCTTGAAATTATATTTTCATCCTTTAACTTCCAGAATTACAATTTTAACCCAAATCTCTTCCAAAATTACCTATTTACCCTTGGATACCTTTTAAAATTTCACTTAAGTCCCAAATTTATTTTTTAATTCCCAAAAGACCCCAAGAACTTTTTTGAAATTATTTTGTTTTGCTCTAAGGTCATAAAATCTGTGACTTTGTGAATTATTGATGATGTTTAGGATCTTGTAGTATTGATAATGGATATACCCCATAGGTGTGACATTATTAATGTATTTTTTGATGGTTGGTTTTGAGGATAGGCTAATAACACTCTTTTTAATATACTAGCTATTTGTTTTACTCTATAGGTATAGAAATATTTAATGCATTATTTTATATGGACTTTTGTATATGCTGAATCTTTATGATATTTGAGCCCTCTTGGTGCACGATTATAGTTGCATAATTGATAATCACTTATTGGGGAATTCTATTTTATAATTATATTGTGCACGCATAATTAATATTTCTCATTTTTTGTTTTATGATTTCAATTTTTGCTTTTACGAAACTATTGTAACACATCAAAATTTTTTTTTTAATTAATTTAATTCAACTATAGTTGGGTTACAGCCACCCAACACATTTTTATATCAATAATTTCGATATAAAATATTTTATAATTGGCTTTAACTCACACACTATAACATTTCAGATAAATTTTTACCTCTCACATGCCATTAGGCTAAATCACATTTGTCCATCCTTATACTCCCAACAAGTAAACTAAATCACATTTGTCCATCCTTATACTCCCAACAAGTAAAATAAGCAATTTAGTCAATTTTCAACACAAGCCAGTAGTTATTTGGCCTTATAATCATGTCATTTTAACCAATCCAAAGTAAACCAAATATTAAAATTACAGTCATCCAAATTGTACCAAAAATAGAAATAGTTTGAAAGGCATGATTACATTTATATATTCATATAATTGACAATAAACAAAAAGCCCTAATATTGGCAATATAACACATTATAAATCATAAATTAAATACCCAAAGAGACAGTGGATCTATACCACTAAGCCTCTGGGACTCCTCCACGTGTCACTCGTGGCTCTTCTCCTGAAAATTGTTAACCACATAATGAGACTCAAAAGTCCAGTAACCAAAGCTAATTTATGATAGTGTATACAAACAGTTAAGTGTGTACTTATTAAGTGAAAATTAAAAATAACATAATTCCAATAAATATAAGAAATATTACAATACACACAAACAACCATCCTTATATTCCTCCATTAACCTCGAGCTGTAGCCCTCACTCGGTGCTAAATTACCCGGCCAAAGGTAGATTAGCCCGAGCCCTTACAAGCCACCTATTGAGCTCCAATAGGGGCGTACCACGTGGCACATAAATACAACAATAATAGCAAGTCTCCCAACACCTCCCACAATAATTAAACAAATTCATAATAATATTGCACAATTATATAATATTACAAAATTCATAATTTTCTCAATAATCACCCAATTAACAAGAAGTAACACTAATCACAAATTAAAAGCATGGTTACCTTGTGGCTTTTTTAATAAATTATTCCTTAAAATTTCTCTCTCACCACAATCTTCACCAGTAATACAATCTACAAATAACATATTATTTATAAATATTAGTTTCAATTTTTGAAACTAATAAAATAATTCTAATAATAGAATTAAAAATATAACATAATTCCTAATCTCAATCTTAATACAAATCTATAGTTAATACTATTAAGTAAAATTTTTAAATCCTCTTTTAATTATCAATAAACATTAATAATCTAAAAATCAACTTCTAAACTAATTTTTATTATCAAAATTTTCTTTTTATTTCATAAATTCGTACCTAAAATACTCAAAAATTAAAAATTGAGTCTCTAGCTTAGAATCATAATCCTATAACCATATAATTCATTTCTCGTCCCAAATAATCATCTAAACCTCAATAAATCAACATATATTTTCAGATCTAGTTTAGAATTTGATCCATAAGCCACAGATTCAAAGATCATCAATAAATTTATACTCTAGAACATTTATTATACTACTGACAACCTCAAAAATCATATTTATTCAACATAAATTCATCCCTCTTCCAGATCTTAAATTTTCTACCACTACAAACTCAGAAACTAAAGAAGAAGGATGACTAAGAAAAATTTTTAGAACACTTACTTAGTCTTGAAAAGCTTAAAATCACACCCTAAATATCCTATTAAAAACTCTTACCTTAAAAATTTAGATATTTTGCACCGGCGACTCGCTTCTCTCCGCCTCAGCTCGCGCGCAGGAAAACAGATGAAAGGGTGAAGCGGAGGAACAACGATGGGGAAAGTGGAGTAATCAGTTGGTGATAGAATGAAGGAGATGAAAGGGCGGTGTTGTAAATATAAATTTTAATTAGGGATAATTTGGCCATTTAAAAATTCATTCCCAAGGAATAGATCTATTCCCATGGTCCATTGATGGAATAAGGATTATTCCCTCTCGTTCTATTTATAAGGCAGAGAAAAGAAAATTTTTTTATCCTATTTATGAGAACACATTATTAAATTTTCATCACAAATTTTTCCTTTTACCCTCTATTGAATTTTGGAGAGAGAAAATATATTATTGAAATATGTATATTTAATAAGGGCAAAGTTAATAACTTATTAAATTTTAAGATAGAGTTAATTAATTTAAAGTTTTTTTAATATTGATAAAATATATTGAAAGTGATTTATAAATAAAATCAATATCTCAAATTAGGTAAGTGCCATTCCATTTAAATGATTGCTCCTACACACCAGATAGGGTAATGAGTTGTTCCTCTCTTATTTCCATTTCATTCATTCTCCTCGACTTCCACTATACCAATCATAATCGAAGGACTCAATGGAGGAATCTATGATCAGTAAAATAGTGATCTACTAAATCAAATTATGTTAAGACGGTAAATATTATGTTTATAATAATACTTTATAAGTAAAATATACTGACCACGATTCTATTATGTATTAGTTATACAAACTTTCTCTTTATTTTGAAAACTCATATAAATCTCACTTAAATTAATATATATATTACATAAATATCCCTTATATATTTGATATCATATTTCCATCCATCTAATTATTAGTTAATCATTTACTTTGACTTTTAAATTTTAAATTTGACCAAAATGTTCCTTTCAATATAAGAATTATCTAAAAATCTAAATTTGCCAAAAAAATTTATATACAACTAAAAAAATATAATAAATACATTTTGAAATTTTTATTATATT